ATCAATCATTATATCAATAGTATTCAATGATAGGAACAATCGTTGAATTATATACACTATACATAATTTAATTAGATTTGATTACAACGTGTATACTGTATATAGATGTACACGTTTCAAGCTCGCTTTATGTTGACATGAATTTTTAATAAAAAAAAATATATTTATATTAATACAGTAAAACACATAATTATGTAATATAGAAATATTTATGTCATAATATACATAATTGTATATTAATTATATAATATTATTATTATTAGTATTATAATATATGTACCCTGTATAGTATCATCGCCAACATGAAATATTATTTAAATGTTTTTATTTAAGTTCAACATAATATAACATAATTATAGCCGTGTAAAGTTAATACATAATATCGTAATCAGAGATTATAATTGCTTTTTTTTTAATAACACCTATTAATTGATTTATTGCTTACACGTCACATCGAGCGAGTTGTTTGTATAATGGACTGCTGATTTAACCAATCTACATCGGATGGCGCAGCCTCTCGTTTTCTACTCAGTATATTGGTATAATATATTATAATAATTGAGAGTACCTACTATACCTATCTATGAATGGAATCATAATATAATACTATTATAATCTGTATTATGCGTGTATTATGTGTCCATACGGAATCGGACGAAAGGGAATAGGAAAAATCGGTCCATTCTCGAGAAGAGAATATTATTTTCTTTTTCACGCGTGACATATTATAATAACAATAACACGAATTATATTATGTTCTATATATTTTATGTGCACCGTACATAATAATAAAATATGTATTAAATAATATTAGATCCTTGGCCGACGACACACACGCGTATACCATATTGTAGAAAACTATCTAATCGGTGTGTATTGTGCTCTATTGTTGTGTCGTTGCGTCCGTTTCGGTTCCGTGGGAGAGCGACTTGTTGCTCAGCTTTATACCATAATACACCTGTATGATAATGGTAGGTAGGTAGATACAGCATATAGCGGCAACGCTTTTTTTATTATTCGTGGACGGCCGCGGTGACGTAACGACAGCGCGAATGCGATTGCAACAATGGTCGGGTTTGTAATAGTAATAATAATAATGTACCTACATAGTTTTTCGAACTGAGAAGGAAACACGGCTCACGAGTGTACTATTATATTATTATAGACACTCGTTTATATATATATACCTAATCCTATGTATAGCGTATAATGATATATTATAATATGGGCGTAAGCCGCCACTGCGCGGGGAGGAGAGAAATCGAAATTTAAAAAAAACTTACGTCCGTAATTAATAAACGAAAACTCCTAGCGTGCCGTACAGATTAACTAGACGGTCATGCAAAGTGAATATGTGACAACGTAAATAGAGCATGGGCAACCGACAAATATATTATAATATATTATATTATTGTGAGCACCTTATAATGATTATAATAAGCGTCGTGCGCGCGTGTGTATTCATTTATAAGGGAATTGTATAACAGGTGTCAGTGGCGCAACCGCGGGGAAGTAGTCTCCGAGTCACCATCCCTCCCACGCAGTCCACCATGCTATAATYAAGTATCATTATCAAGTGATACATTTTTTGATTCAAAATGTATTGGTCTTGCCAAAAATCGTGATTTAATAATATAATGAGCTATTTATACTCGTAATTTAAATAATATGTTATACAGAAGGTAGGTGAGTACAAAAAAAAAATACGTAGTTTTGGACCCATCCACATCACCCTCTCGGGATAGTCTTCATTATGTTATTTATTTGTTATAGATACCAAACCAAGGGCACCAGATAAAATTTTAACCAGGAAGAGGGAATCATAACATAACATGTTATATTATAATGAAAAATTATAGAATTGTATACTTCCGTATTATGAGTATATTATATGTTATAACAAACTTCGTAAAAAAAAATCGACAATAATTATAATATATTATTTGCTGTATTATATTACAAGACTGCGAGAGCACTGAATATTTTGTTCTATAGTTTTTAATTTTTAATGTTAAATTATTATTTTATTTACTGACAAAAAAAATGGCTTTTAAAAGTTAAAAGTATATAAACCCTAAATATATACCCTATACATACATTAGCACAAAAGATTGAGAGTTGGGAGGCCCACACACTATGCCTACACACGGACGCCCTTGTACCTAATRCTGTTATAGTGTTATGACTTGTGTTTTTTAATGTACAATTTTATATCGTTCTGCGTATGTGTATATAGTAAGTTAGTAGCTGTCGAATCACAGACTACGAATCGGGTGACTTGGCGGACCACTATAAAGGTAATTGCTGAACACAATACGTTATAGTGGTTCGGAAACTGCATATTGTGCAACGTGGAGTCCAAGTGTTCAGCTAGACTACTAGAGTGATATACAAAGCTAAAGACATAAGGACCGAATGTATAAAAAATAAAAATAAAAATAATTTGTGCAAAATTAGTAGAAAATAAGCAGCAGATATGTAAAATAAAAATATAATTTTTATCAATGGAAAAATGTATAATAATATATATATTATTTAAAAAATGTATGATCGTCAATAATCTATTTTATATAATTGTTGAGATTTTGGAGATTATACATCTTCCCATGCAATACTATGGTAGTTGAATTGCAATTATTGTGTCATCGTGATTTCTATTATTTATTCTTTCTTATAGGTAATTGATAATCATGGTTTGTGGGGCACCGTAAACTTGGCCGTTTGAGGACTGCTTTGAGATACACGCACATAATATAAGCACAGAGTGCAGTTATAAAATATCTGAATATTTTTCGCAACGTCTTTATCAGCCTCGAGAGTTTCACAACCGGTCGAAAATCGGGACATTGAGAAAATTCTAATTAATAATATTGTATCATGGGTTATCATCATCAACACGAGAGTTAAACGTAAACAATATATAATCATATAACTAATCACCTAGGTATGTATTATATACTGAAGGCACATCTCGATTTCTCACGCTACCGCGGTCGTACGTTCCGATAATATAAATTATTATTATTATATTCATTAACTTCGCTTGTTCGCGGATTCAGATACTACAATGGATCGTTTAAATATGTATTATTTTTTATATTTTTCGCTAGTTCGTTTGTTCACCACATGACATTGAAAATTCGACGTTTCGCCCGACGGGTTCACGGGTTGTACGAAACTTTTGCGTAATGGTTTATGACTCGCGCCTTTATTATTCCTATGTTAATCGTAATGCTATAATACGCGTTAACGGTAAAGAATTATAATAATATTATTATTGTATAGTTGTTGTTTAGATGTGATTGAACGCACGTCGTATGATTTTTATCTGTCAAAAATTATAGATGAAATCGGCCGCGATGACGTCAGCTCCTGCTTGGGTGAGGTGAGTAAAGAGAACCGAATGACGACGAATAGATAATATTCCACTGATTCACCAAGCTCACTCCGATCTCCGCCAAGTTTATTTAAATTCTGATTTTTGGAATTTTTAAGTAACATTTTTTTTTAAATACCATATTTTCAAATACTCAGAATATTGTCTAATTTAATGAGCACCACGTGATGATACTTCGTATTATTTCGAGTCAATTTTTTTACATACTATAGGTAAATTGATAAGCCAATGATTTATTTTTTTTAAATGTTGATTCATATAAATCAAAAATCAAACAAGTAGGTAGTTTCTAAGTTATTAAACTTTGTATACGAAGGAAAATAGTCCCTAAAAATAGTTTTACAATAATAATAATAATAATATGAAATATATAATTAATGTATTGACCATTATGCTTGGGCATTTTTACAAAATTTTAAATGTTAATAGATTAATATAAATTACTTTGATTTTCAAATCACCATACTTAGTTCACGTATTTTAAACATCTATTATCTTTAGTATTCACAACTACGTTTAAAAACTGAAAATAAAATCGTATGAATTTCAATTTAGATATACGTACATAACATATTCAAAAAATTCATCTAATAACGTGTCCTCATAGCGGAATCGTTCAGAACCAACCCATTTTTCCGGCATAAAGAAGGTTCCGTTATAGGGAGACTAAAATATACGGGAATATAATTTTTTGTTGTTAAGAGATTCCCGTCTAAAAAGGGGGTCCGTTATTAAGAGTAAGTCCTCTTAATAACGGACACTGTATAGGGAAAAGGCGGGTTTTTATCTGGAAAAAGTTGGCATCACCTCAGGACACTGTTCAAATTATAAAAAACAATCTAAATATTTGAAAATTTCGAAAATCAGAACATGAATAAGTTCCTTATTAAACGAAAAATGGAGTTGAGTATGGCAGGCGCATTTAAATACATTATTATGCTAGTTTAAAACTATTAACGAATAATATATATGTCATAATAACAATGAGTACACGTATCAGTCTAAATATTAAATTTTTATTTGACACTCCTAAATACACATTTGTATTTGAGTTTTTGAGTTTATACAGTGTAAATTCTTATAATATGTAAGTAATAAAATATAATATCAATATTTATAGTATGGCGCGTTACTGTTTATAGGTAATATGAAAGGCGGGTAACAAAACAATAAAACTAAATAACAAGGTAGCATTCTATTTTACCTTAGCCAATAGCCTTCTGTATATTATCCAACCTAATTTCAATGAACATATCAACGAGACCGTATTTCATGAATTATTTGTATTATTTTTTTTCCATCTTTTATAGGAATTCGTGTGAATGATTATTTATTTTTTTTTTTACCAATAATATTCGATTTTCATTTAACCTGTATTTACCGTGATAATATAATAATATGCAACAAAAAAATAAACGTGTCCAGTAACCCGATAAACTGATTTGACTGCATCGAATTTTCAAAGTACCCTTAAGAGACGTTATTTTATAATACACTGTAACCCATGTCCCCATATCATATACAATATGGAAACTCGTGGTCTAATTTTTTTTATTATACCGACATATAATAATATTATCGTGTCGGGAATAATATAATTTACCTGCTGGAGGCCTGTCCTTGGGATAGCATATTCTAAAAAGACCCTTCGTTCTTGTAAAATAGAAATATTTATTCATTTGTTCGAGTACTGAAGTTTGACTACGCTGGCTAACGGCATTCTGAAAATACATAATAGATACAAATTAAAATACTGTGTTAAGGTTGTAAGTTTTAAAATTTCACAGATTATGTTTGTTCGTAACATTATCATCATCATCTCAAAATTAACATTTTTAAACATCATAATACACACATAGTTAAGTGTTTTTTATTTTAATTGGAAATTACTTTACTGTTGTTATCCAAACCATAAATTTCAAAACTACACGGTTTAATTATTAGGCGCACATTGCATTTGTTTTATATACATAATGGAATAAATAATATATCATGTATGGTATCGGCGAGTTGATCAAATGCATGGCCCAGTAAAGTATTGCAATTATTGCAATGAGATGTATTCACGTATAATCATTACACCTATTTTATAATCTCGTTATATTTAAAAAAAAAATAATAAAAAACAATAAAATAAAATAATCGTATTGTCGTTCACGTTTCGGGCGACCTTCAAATACACAAACTGATTTACGAAAATATACAGCTTTGACGGGCAAACATTACGTTCTAAATATTCTGAAAACATTGAGTATAGAAAGTATATCTACTCATTCAAAAAGGTTTAAAACCGTATAATATTATTATTGATTGTAATTCAAAATATTATACATAACTATTATAACTATGTAATAACTAATAAGCATTTAATGTCCGAGCGGAATACAACAGAAGGAGAGGATACTTATCGATCAATTAACAACATAATAATATATATTAAAGACGTACTGCGGCACGCTTGCATTTGATTATTTGCACATTATTTTACCGATTTCTCATTTTCTAGTAATGGGTTTCGTATGTAATTAATTATTATTATTCGATGAAATCGACCCACTTTATCGTATATTTTTTTCCATATTTTTTCTATTTATTGTCATTCGGCTTTGTGTCGCTGTCAGCATCGCGTCTTTATTATTATTTCGCAGACCATATCACTGTTTTCTTCGGATTTTAAAATGTACTTATATATACTGTATAATACGATAGAGGGGAGTTCAATTCTATGGTACAGCGACCTCGACTTGCATACGTATATAAATATATATATATATATACAAAATAATATATTCGAAACTGCGCTAAATATTCGATATTTTTTTTATTTTTCAGTAACGCTTCAAATCGGACTATGCCCGCGGCGGTCGCGACCAATCGAAAAACAAACTATATGTGTCATACATGCGTTTGTAAGCGTCTAAATAACAAAAATAACAATACGGATCAGTAATATAAACTAAGAAATTTATAGATTTGACTTTGTGGATTGGTTACGCTGTTACGCACAACGGGCGAGAGGTTTTTTGAGTACACAAACAGCCACCTAAATTGTTGGTAGAGTTTTTTTATGATTACAATTTTTTTACAAATACTAGATAGTCCGTATCTATACAGATGTAATTCATTGATTTATAATTTTGATCATATTTACATTTTTGTATCAATATCATAAGACAATTATATTTTATAATATTATTATATGTTAATATAAAATAATATATTTATATTACATTTTATTATGTTTATTGAAAAATAAATAGTTATAATTTTCCACATTAGATTTCCAAAAAGAAGAAACACTCCCTGAAAATGTTGATGCAGATATAAATAGACTTTTACTGTACGTGTCGTGATATCTCAAAATATGTATACCTACCACCAAGTGTGTCTGACTTAAATAAGATGCAGTTAATATTGGGTGCGTTCTAACGACAAATAATTCCAATATTGTATTTATCAAATACGTTATAATAATGTTGTGAAAATCACGACGGTGATGTTCAAATTATTATAAGATGTGCAATTCGACGTTGTTGCTCAAAAATAAAAAACAAAAAAACTGTCCATAATTATACGTAGGTATTAAAATGAAACATTAAGTCATGCTATTGCTTGCGTAATAATCTTCGTCGAAAAATATATTATTATTTCGAACTAAATTATTGTTTAATGTTTTCTAGTATATTAAGCAGTATTTAAAATAATACAGTCACTGGTACGGGATCGATTCAACGTTAATCGTATGGTTTTCTACGAACTTAAATTTTTTATATGAAAATAAAAAAATATATAAAATGAGAACTGTACACTGTATTTACTCCGAATCCGCCGATATTATACGTTTTATTACAAATAGTAGAATAGTTCACTTTTTAGATTATTTAATGAAATCGTTGTGACTCGGTGGTGATTCACGATTATTTTTAGATTTAACATTAATACAATCCACTGCAAGAACTCTAGCTGTGTCGTTTATTTGACGTAATGAACAACGCTGTCTTGAACTCTTGTCACGTGAAATATCGATATTTTTCATCATGACGATCCCAACTGTACTAATGAATTCGTAGTTCACTCTATTATCAGTTTAGGAACAAACAATTCATTTTGTCAGAACTTGGGTTGTTCTATAACCTATAACTATGCAGCATAATCTCGACTATAATATTATAGTTATTATGCGATGAATATTAAACTGGCCAATTTTATAATGTTATAATATATATATATATATTGTAATAGTTAATTTATAATATTTATATTCGAGGTTAAAAACTAATGACGTCATGATGCATTGGTGATTCGAAACGAAGGAGCTCACGAGACTCCTGTAAAACAACTAGATATGTTCACGCTGAAATGTAACTGTATATAATATATTATGTTTTTTGAATTCGATTATTAAATGAAGAGCATTCTCTATCAAACGCATTCTTCTAATGAAAGATCGATCGAAAGTCAAAACCAGCGAGTGCTTATACAAATGTAATAAATTATTACTAATCTAATAATACTAGCTGTTTAACCCGACTTCAACCAGAAAAAATAAACCAAATATTCAAATACAGAGTTGTACTAGCGGTTTTAGCATAATATATAAGTACCTCGGTTCACGGGTAAATTGGCGTCTGTGTAACTAGCTTTGCAGTGAGTTGATTCGACCAAGAATCGAGATGGACAATCTGCCTATGACAGATTATACTACTAAAATAGTAGCGTACTTTATTTTCGCTGAATCATAATGCAACTGAACAGTAAATATAAAATCAAGTAACAGAAAACTGAGCATGTATAACACTCACTTAAGTTTAAACATTTTTGCGAATCATACTAGTCATTTAGGCTCCTTGTCAGTAAATAAATAAATAACAGGCCAAAACGGGGTCTTGCACAAAGAAAAAATTGTYATTAAGACAGTGCAATATCCAAAATACGCCTGCACTGTTGGTGACCAAATGATAATAAAATGTATGCAGGAGCTATAGCTGAGACGCGGAAAAGGCTTACACTATATAGWCGACGAAAGTAGTCACCCATAGGGCCATATGTATRYTATATATTATTATTGGCAATGATATTGTGCAGACCGTCAAACGAGGCGATTCTAGTACAATCCTAATATAATACCAATAAATAATAATATTATAACAATAAACACGACGAAATCTTAACCGTTCGTCGAGTTTCCGGTGTCGGAGTGTCGTCGTCGTCTCTGCAGTGTTTCCGGTACGATAGGTTCGTCTGTGCGGTGTATATAGCTGTAGTARTATAGTAGCAATACACCGCTGCAAGAAGSGCATAAAAAGAACCAATACTACATAATAGTATAATGCCCGACTGTACCTATAGCATGGGTAGGTCTATACCACCTACCTATGCACTCGAGAATTACACAGCCACCGCCACCACCGCCGCAACAGCAGTCATCGATGGCTCAACGACCTCGTATAGAATTCTGAGCGGCCCCCGACGCGAGTGCTGGTGCCGACGGAATACGTTATGCGCTCTAAAGAATGCGCGTCTACGCGCTATTGTATCTTGTATGCGACAATATAATATAAATTATTATCATATTCTTAAGTATCTATATTAAACAGTTAGTGGATAAAATGCACAGAGAAGCTTTTTCTGTACCACCACGCTYAATTTCCTCTGCCGGATTTCAAGGTTTTAACAAAAAAAAAGGAAAAGTCCAACTTTTGATATTTTTTACCAACCGCTCTAAGTTATTTGAATTCCGTACGCACTGGAGCGAAATACTCTTGAAAATGGTTGAAATATATTGAATATAATATTATACGTCTAATAACCGACAATACACACCAAACGAATATAAAAGTTTTTTATTTTTATTAATAAACAAACTTTAGACGCAGCATTTCGTTTTTTTTTATCTAAATTATACTTGTACATTTCCTTTAAAGGGTTACGGCCGTAAGAAAATTAGTTTTTTATCAAAAGTGTCACTTTTAAATAATTATAAAACTATTCATAAGTGCATGGATATTTTTTTTTTATTTAAAAACTCTCATAAAGAAATAAATAAAACTAATTTATTTGGCAAATGAGTAAAGCAGTTATAAAAAAATCACCCTGTATATTATTGCTAGACAGACAGATGAACACTAATATTGTTTATTATTATAATGTCCAACGGAGTTATTTTACTTTTCGTATTGTTTTTTTATTATAGTTGTTGCCTACTATTATTATTATTGAATTTATAGAATTCTTATTTAATTTTTTTWAATTTTTATCTGTGTCTCACCTCACTCGTTCCCGGACCGGTAACGGTAACAGACACGAGAATAGCAAACCACATGATTCATATATACATGTACAATAACGGTCATGTMCAGAATGATTTCAATGGATTAACGATTCTACTATAACCAATCGATCGGATATTGTATTGCAGTTATTTGTCACCCTATAACCTTATTAATTATTTTAGCTAAGCCTTCGCTACATAACAAATTCTSAGATCCTCCCCCCAAATCCTAGCTAAGTAATCACAATTACCATATAGGTAACAAATTATAGTCATAACATTAACTATTTAGTGTTATATTAAAAACATACAAAATATAGATATATCAAATTCAAATAATATGATAGACCTCATATGGTACAGTGTTATTGACGAACCATACTTTCCTTTTTTCTTCAATAATCCAGTTATTGAAAATCTGTTTAGTAAAAAAAAAAATAGAATAACAAT